TTTTATTCAGCAAGAGTTCTTAGTAACTTCTTGAGTGTGGTAGACTTTGGAACATGTAAATTTTTTGCCTGTAATGTTATCCTGTGGTAGGATTTTGGCAGACAAATACTGCCCTATTTTATTTTGAGTCTAAGTTAAATGTTTTCTGAAAACAGAAATGTGCACTGAACTCTCCACTGCAAGTCAAGATGTGGTAAAACCGAAAGTTCAAGACAATGAAATGGAATACTACTGTCGATTTCATGTCCACTGTGTTTTATACAGTATCTTTTTTTGTTCACTTTGGAAATTTTTACTAAAAATGCAAAAAATAAAGTATTGTGCAAAGATATGTAAGGTTTTTTGAAACTTGAAATGCATTAATAAATAGACTTGATGAAATCATCTTCTGAAGATCCATTTACTTTTTGAACCCTGAAAGCAAAAAGGAATACACAGATTCTACTTCTACTTAATTTTTGGCTTTTGCTGGAAAGGGGCTGTCATGCCAAAAAGTAATTGTACTATCTTTACACTGTCAAAGTACGCCTCCCAATTTTAACATCATACAGTTATATGTAAGAGTAAATGTTTTTGTGTAACCTGTGGGAAAAGCCCCAAAATTGCCTTTAAATTACTTCTGTGATCACAGGAATAAAGCTTTCTCTGTTCGCATCTTCAAAATAGAAACTAGTTACTGATGGGGTATTCAAGCCTGGCACCATAGCAAGTGAATGATACCTTCTGAAATAAATATATTTTTGAAGAGGAATACTGGAATTAACATGCAATACTCTGAATGCATAACTGATGGATAAGACTTCTAGTAGGAGCAAATTTGCTTTTTGCAACGTGTTTTAAAACTGCTAAGCTGGGTCTCTGTGTCTTTGTGTGTGTTGTATAGTTGATACAAGTGATAAGACTGCTTTTAAAAGCCAAGTCTTACCAGCTAGTCTTTCATTCTTAGGGCTGTTTGAGAATGGCCTGCTTAGACATCTGTTTCCCTAACTAAGCAGCATACGCTTTGATGTAATCAAAGCACATCCAGAGTTCCTTCCTCGCAGTACTTCCCCCCCCAACTTTTTTTTTAATTGAAGTGCTTCCCCTTGTAGCTAAATAGCACTGTCAGGGCAAAAGGTATTAAAAGAAAATCAGTTGGAGCAGAGCCCTTCTGGAAATCAGCATCATAGGTGCCTAATAGATTTGGTGGTGGTTGCATTTAAATGTCTGTCTAAGAATGCAAACCAGAGGAGTAGAAATAATGCCTAAGCATCTAAAATACCAATTTTGTGTATATTTTAAAATGTGTTTGGGGGAAATGAGTACATAAATAGCTGTAATTTTTCTAACTAATATTTGACCTAATAATCCCTAGTTGTAGCTATTCATTTATTCATCTTGTATTTCTTAATGTTTAAGTCATTAAATGTATACGTTCACCTCTGGTGTAGGAGCATGCATAGTCAGAATGGTGTGAATGTGAGAAGCGCATCAAACTCCTCTTAAGCTGTGAAACTTTGTTTATACCATACAGACTAGCAGTCACTGATATAGTTTGCCTTTTAATTAGTGTTCCAATATTTCTTTCAGGAAAAACACACAAAAAGGAAGGACGAGATTTTTACTTCTGAATATTGGAGGTTCATTATTACAGAGAGGTGATTAAAAGGACAGCAGTCATTACGTCATTCTAAGCTGTGCTTCCTCTTGACAAGTAGGCTCCTGATGGCTTTCAAGGTCTCGATTCAGTTGTTTGGAGTGAGACACAATAATTCCAGTGAGCACAAAGGTACCACTATAGGCACTTGCAATTGTGGCTTTGACTTCAGTATTATATTCAGGCATTGTTAAGACTTTGAGTATGCTGCAACTTGGGCTTTACTTCATTTTTATATCAGAAATTAGTGTAATGGCTGTCAAAACACAGGGACAGGTTTTATTTAGACATATGATTTGTGAAAAATGACATCAGAATAAGTATCTTCATATCTGCAGGAGTTCAAATACTGAATGTTCTTTTAATTTTCCTACTTGACTTTTTGAAAGTTTTCAGATTATCTTATCTGAGGATATACTAGTTTGTTTTAGTTGAACTGGAGAATGTTTTTTCCCCAGAAACTTTAGAAGTCCTCAGACTGCAATATCCCTGTTACTTGAGTTTCAGCACTCTGACCTTTTTTCTACCTGTTTTTCCTGAACTAATGCTTTAAAGCTTGTTTCTCTTGAAGTTTAGATCCCTTTATCAGCCTTCTTACCAAGTAAAGTGATAGTAATGTGAAAGAAATGCCAATTTTAATGTCTAAAATGTTTCTAAGTGTGTTAAACGTGTAACTACAGAAAAATCATGACTTGAAAGGCTCTGTTAATGTGTATGTTTTACATTATACAAATCTTATTAAAAGCTGTCTTGCCAACTTCCTAGTGCTTTTTTCCCAGGTATAGCGAAACACTAACATTGTAGTTTCCACACTGGAGAAGCAGCACAGTCCAGTTCTTTCTAGCCTTTGTCTCTCGCTCTGTCATCCTTCGATATCTTCTGAACAAAAGCCTTTTTTGAGGACTGGGGGTAGGATTTGGTTCAGGAAGCTTACAAAGTTCATAGCTTAGAAAGTTGGTGATAACCGATGTTGTAGATGCAATTCCAATGACAGTATTTCAGTTCTTCTATAAATAGACAAGTATTTTATAAACAAAACAACCCTAAATATAAGAAGTAAAAGTGGCAGATCTTTAGCTTTTTCCAAAAACAAAAATTGAATTCTAAGAAACAATCTAGGGAAATACATAATTTGAGTTAGCCACACACACATACTTCTCTCCCTGTGTCTCATTTTTCATTGTGCTTTGGAAAACTAAAATGGCCACATTGTCATTTGTTCCTTGTCTGTAATTCTTCAGGATACAGTTCATTTTAACTTCATGCCCCTAAAAATGCTGTCACTTGGTCTAGCAATTGAGTCTCTCCAGTTAGCTACTACAAATGTAAAAAAAAAACAAACAACCAAAACAAAAAAAAACAAACAAAAAAAAACCCCAAACAACTCAGCCATCATCTAAAAAAGGTTCTGGTGCTTACCTAACTCTTTCAGGGATACTTACTGCTGAAACTTCCCTCTTCTGTGTGTGCTCCTGATTTGACTTGGCTACTGTATTTAAGTGATAAATTTTTGTATAAACACAGAACATATTACAGAGCTTTAATAAAATAATTATGTTAGGAAATGTAAGTATTGGGGGTAGCATCCTGAAGCATGGAATTAATCTTTTGACATAGAAGGTGGAAATACTTTTCATGTTTAAAAAACCAATTTGCTTCATTGGGCAAAATCTTTTAAAGCACAAACCTTTGTTTACAGTGAAGAGCTAAAGATTCTTTTACATGGAATTTGTATCTAAATCTATAAATATTTCTCCTAATCAAGATGCTACTCCAAGTGGCAATTTTAAATATCAGATCAGCTTCTGAAATTTACATCTCAGGAAGGAAAACCATTCTCATTTGAAAAGTAAGTATTCTTCAGTTCCCGTCATATTTAGTCAGCCTTTCTGTTTCTGTATTGAATACTCCTGTTTGTTGAAAGGAATGGTAGTTATTGAAAACATCTTTTAAAAGTTAGAAGTTAATATTCTGAATGGTCGGCAAAGACGCCTGCATTCAACATTTGATCGCTGTTCATTGCTTGCAGGATTGCCAGCTCTGCTCAACTTGTTCATTTGTCATGCTTTTAAAATAAATCTCACTTTAATCCTGATAACATCTGTATATTTTTGATTCAAAATTCCCTGCAATATCTTGGTATGGAAAATATGCTTGGCTCCAGGTCTTAGGACTCTGTTTCACATTTTTTACCATTTAGAGAACATTTAAAACATTACATTCAGAATACAGCGTTGTAGAAACATAATTTTTAATGAATCTTGTGCTTGGCATTACAAAATGACAAATGAAATACTCTGACATACGTATTGATTTCTATTTCAGTATGCACTAACCATAAAATAAAATCTTTATGTAAAGAAACATTATTGTTTCAGATTATGTAGTTTATATTCTGACATAGGAAACAAGGGAATTGTATATGTTTGAATTTATAAAGTTTGTTTATATGCACGGAAGATGTTTGAGGGTTTTACCATTTTCATTTATTCATGCAGTTTCAAATCATGCTAAAATCTGCTATACAGCGATTTAAAATATAAAAATCTCAAGCCTTACCTGAACAGGTAAATATGATTTTTAATGCAAAAGTTAGCTGAACTTAGTTGTGCTAGAATTGCGTGTAGTATACTAAGCATCATTAAAATAATTAAATTACTAGTAATTTAAATCAGTACTTTAATTAAAATAGTTAAACATCAAAGCATTTTCCAACAGGACAAAGTTTAGTATAGCATTTTTAGGTGATACAGTTATTTGGCTTGTCATATGGTTATGACAGATAGCTCAAGCATTCTCTATGTTGAGATGTGTTTTAGTTTTTGAATGTTACAAAGTAAAGTTCAAACTCTTTGTTAACAATGTTATCTATTTGGGAATGTTTTCTTGTATGGATTATTTAACTCCCCCTTCATTAGGAAATAATTTAGGAAAGTTTTAACTGATAGTAGTCACTATTAATGTTTCAAAGTACTTAATGGGAAATGAGGCTCCTTTTTTCCCTTAAATCCAACAAAATGAAATTTTTCAAAGGCTTATGGCAATTCAAATATTTCAAATTCTTTAAAATAGTAATATTTTTATTTCTAGTGAGCAGGTGTTTTGTAAAACTTTAAACAATTTAAAATTGACAATTGCTGTTGATGAAATTGCTCATTGATCACTTTGAGAGTAGGCTCTTTGAACAAAGCGCATATTTTGGCTTACCGTTGCATCACAAAAACTAAATTTTTTTAAAATGTATTTTCTTCACCACCTCTGAAACTATCAGGATATTTAAATTTAATGTAGCTGTGTATTTTTAAAACACTTTACTAGATGTATAGTATTTTGAATATATTTTGGTGAGTCGTTGTCTTTTGTGTTCTTGCTCATTTTCTGTTTTGTCTCCGAAAGCGATCTTCACACCTCATAAATGTTTTCTCTTGGGCTGGATGAAGGTGAACGTTGTCAGTGCTTTGAGAACAAAATGTCATTCTAGAAAGAAAACACAGCATGTAAGCATAACATTGCTTTTTAGGGCTACCATCTGTATAAAAGTGTGCTCTCTAGATACACTGAACCTGACTTTCTTTATCATGTCTTTTACAGGAAGGTATCTGATTGTTTTTATAGGCTTGTGAGGAAAGAGATGTATCTGGCTGCCAGATAGTAGGTACAGAGTAAAAGGCGTAGGCAACTCCTGTGTACTGAGCACACTATGCCTCCATCTCTTTCTGGTATCATACACATCACATGCAGTGATTTAGTCTTTGTATTCTCAGTGGCCATTGTTATAGTTTCAACTCTTACTATTACTACCAGGATTGCACTATTTGGCCTGCTAGTACTTAGTTGGACTACTAGTATTTAGTTGTGAGGTTGCTAAAAATCAGTTATGTAGGATGCTAACATCATCAGCAACTACATATGCTACAGAAATGTTTTCCATATTTGGAACTTAAGTATGTTGGAATCTGGTATTTTATTGCTCATAATAGTCTGTTTATTAACTACTTTTTAAGGTTATGCTGTTATGTTGTGTGTGTTTGTCATAAGATAATCTAACAAAGGAAAATTTATCATGTATATAAATATCATTAACATTGTGAGGTAAAGGTACATGGAGATAAAATATTGTCAACAGTTTGTTCAAATGCTCAAGAAAGCACAAGACAACTCAAAACACATCTTGTGTTTACTACCTTTTTTTAATACTGAATTTCCAAAATTGCTAATTCTTCTATCCATGGTTTGGTCTTTCCAAGAAGACTGAAATTTACACGCTCTTTTCTTTGAAGAAAATACTTTTCCTTGAGTGTCCTTTGTTCCTCCTTTTAGAATCACCTAATAATCTTTCATTCCCCCCTCAAGCATTAATCCAGTATTTCAACAGTAACATGTCATTTCCATTCCCATGACAAGCCCAGATTGCACAGAACAAAACCCAGCACGTAATCAGTATCCATTAAAATCTTGACACAAACTCACATTTTTGCTTGCAGCAAAAAAACTTCTAAGGAGCATCAGGTGCCTGAAGATACTAGCATCATTTTTTGTTAATATAATAACTACCCACCTCAGTTACCCATTTCCTAGGATTTCTTTAGTACATCAGTAGTAATTGGCTTGTGCCAGGTTATTGACACAGCTGTATTGGACAGGAGCTTTCTGGTTAGAAAAATGCATATACCTGGCAATCCTTTCACAGTCTTCATACTTTTTTCTCAAGGTACAAAAATCTGTATTTAAACAGAGCTCTCTAATTTGCAGTGTATTCTCTGCTTTAATTTGCTTTGGCAGCTAGGTCAGTACTGATTTTGGATCATGTCTTTTAAAACAGCAGGAGATGTTATAGAAATGATTTTTTTTTTTTTTTTTGTAATGGCAGGAGCATGTGCCAAGTCCTGGGTTAGGAGAGGAAAATACCTACAAAATACATTTTCAGGGGGACAAAACCCAAGAAAATATGATCCCTCCTCTGCCCCCCAGCACAAACAGATTGTCTTATGAAAATGTCTCTTTAAATTGTGTAATTTGTCTTTGTGTCAGTATCAAGGAGATGCAGCTCTGTCAATAAGTATTGTTCCACAGAAAGTCTGCAGTAGTTATAAGTGGTGCTAGTAAGAAAGAGACTGTAGCATGGAAGAATCATCTTCTAAGAGTGAGCCACCGTTACAAGGTAAGACATGCTTTTCTCATTAACCTTAATTAAACTGCTTAGTTAAAATTTCTCAAAGGATTAAAGCAGTGGGAATCATTACAGGTTTTGTTAGTCTGTCTTGTGGCTGAAATTTCTCTGTGTGAATAAGCAGTTTCAAGTGTTATTAGCATTGCTGTATGTAGAGAACAAGGCCACTCAGACTTGGTGATCCAGTTTCAAAGCAATCAGCAAGGGAAAAAGAAAAAAAGAACATGCATCCTCCAAAAAAAATCCAAAACAAATGAACAAAAAATGAACAAAGAAAAAAATCCAAAACACAGACTTCAGTTTGCATTCATAATTTTTTTTGTTCCAGAAAACTGCTCTCTGATGCTACTTCAGAGTTCAGCTGACAAAATTCACGTCACTGAATTCATACTATAGAAAAAAGCACAACCAGAGCACAAAAATTGCTGTCGAATACCAGTGAAAGTGTGGTATGTAGAAGTATAGATAGTCTTTTTGTTTTCCAGGACTGCTTACATTCTGTTTGCCCACTAGAAATTTCAAAATGTCTGTAGTTGATCTTTGCTTCTACAGTTTATCACTCCAGGAACTTCTTATACAGCCTGCACAGTGTAGTAATTCATTATCGACTCTCAGACACTGGACTGGCTCTTAAATGAATGAGACAAAAATAAGGGAATTTTATGATTAAACCCTTAGTTTCAATGAATAATCAGATGACTGTGTAGTTCTGCATGTGATCCTTCCAGTGAGTACTTTCAAGAATGGCGATGGTGAGTTTATCTATAAAGTAGGTATTGAAAGTCAAGTAATTAAAATTTGGCGTATCTTTTGTAAGCAGGAATTTGAATTTTTCATGGCCTTAATGTTGGAGTCAATATTTATCCTACACAGTATCTTGTTTCTCTGAAATTTCATATGGTCCTTTTGGAGTGAGATAATCACATTCTAAAAATAAGTCAGAAATTGTCATCAGTTACTGTCATTAATTGTGTAGAAAAATTGCATTGCAGAACTTACTAAAATTCTTCCTTGGATCTGTGTGCTAACTCCTTCTCTATGCTCTATTCCCAAGTATCAACAAAATCATCACCCAAGGTTATTGTGCCTTAAACTAGGATTAGTGGTAGTGGTGAGCCAGAACACTTCCCACTACTCATTTCTGACCTGAGAACAAAGAAATTCTTTAAGTCACTTAAAAATCATGCAGTCCGATCTGAGGGGGAGGGGGGAAAGCCAGAAGTTGTACATGGATAAATTCACCACTGGTGTGAGTGCTGGGACTCGGATGCTTTTATTTGAACTAGGATAACCTGTGTGCCAAGCATCTGTGGTGTTATTACAGAAAAATAGTGTTTTCATTACACTTACTTTTGCTGTGTTTCGCCTGCTTTCACTCTTATTGTCTTCACTATAAGTCCTGGTCGACGGGTGCCTTTTGTCCATGGTATTATGGTTTGAACTGTGTCCCAGATATTTTCCCAAACTGCAGTTCCTTCCCATTTGAACTTGATCATTATTAGCTCACCAATATCAGTGTCCAAGGTGATGAGAAAAGAGTAGGTTTTATTCCCATTAATACCTTCAACTCTGCAGAAAACAAAACCAGAATAATGCTGTCTTAATTATTATGGGTTAAAGTGAAAAAAAACTAGTTTCTCTTCTCTTTAAAACCAAAGAAAGAACTATGTTTCTTCCTCTTCCTCCAGGAGGGAACATTACTGTCTCTAGGATACTCTTCCTCCAGGTGCATAAAGTGGTGAAATATGACAACATGCTAGAAAAGAAGCAGAAGTGGGAGAAGCTTGAACAGCGGCTGAAGCAGTAGTGGTTTCTGACAGCAAAAGAAAAGGTGTCCCATAATAGCATCTACATTATGACTTTTGTCTGCTAGAGCAAATGCTGACCCACACTGTTGCCTTTGCTTTTGTTAATACAGATAGTGTCCATCATGAGAAATATCCAAAATTCTTAACCTTAATTACAGCTGCTTATTTATTTGTGTTTTAATTGATTAGACCTCCCTGTGTTAGCCATGGGATGGACTGAACATAAGTAGACAGGATACTTAATATTCAGGGAAACTTCCAAGATTACTAAGTTTGTTTTATAGAGATTTTTCATGCAAAAACTGTATGAACATTGTAAAAGTTTGTGATTTTTAGGGAGTATGGGTGAAGAGAGAACAATTCCCAGTTCATCTTCACTTAGCTGTACTAAACCATTTCACTCATAGGATGATTATGTACATGATGTGGTATTATAAATTAGGACCTTGTTTCTCACTTGTACAATGACATGTAATATCAATACTCACAGTGTGATGGGCAGATTTTTAGCATCCTCCTTAGTGCCTGTCAGAGAAATGGTAAAAGTTGGGTCTATCTGCTTGCCTTGGATTTCATTGATGAAGTGGATCTTGAACTGATAATGATAGACTATAGAAAGGAAGAATTTGCAAAGTGACAAAATTAATGGTCAAAGAAGCAATAGATTTCTCAGGCAAAAGAATTTTGCCTTTCAGAGCAGAAACTTGATTAATATTCCATTTTATTTTTTGATCAAATTTGTTGCAATTAAAACATCATCCTTTTTTCTGATCATTGCTGTTCTGTGTAATCCCTTAGGGTTTGGGGCCCTGTTACTCTGTTTAAAAGGATGGAGAAAAAAGGTAACCTGTGCTGAGTTCCCTTTGTAGGATAAAACATTCTTCCATGGAAAATATTTCAGCTTTTCCGAAGTTTAATTGTTAGATAGGGGGCTTGCCAGAAATTCAAATCACCAGACAAATGCTTATGACTGGACATGGCTAGAGATGTATGATAAAGATTGAAGACCTTATGCAATGTAGTCAGGCTTTTTCTCTGATAAGCTAGAAAATTGCCCTGCAAAACAGATGACTCTCAAACTTTCCTTGACTGCATAATGATACATTGTGCTTGACATGCATCCGTTAACAATATGACTCTGTTCAAGCACATTACTATAAGAAAGATGTCATTAATACTTCGAGATTTGGTGGCTTTCTAGAAGAACAGTGTTTAGGAAAGTCTTTGAACTGAATATTGTCAGAATGAAGAATGCCTAAGAAATCATCAGTGTACTGATTACAAGGAGTTTGACATTTAGTAAGTTAGGAAAAAAAACAAAACAACCCCAACATACAGTTAAAGGCCATGTGCACACAGATATTGTCAGCTAGATTTGAATGTCCAAAACTCCTCTGTCTGGTGATTCTACCAGCCACCTTCTTGACAAAACTGATAGATTTAGGTGTTAATTAAGAAAACCCTAAGTAATTTCTACTCACAAAGACCACAGAGTATTTGGAAGAATTAGCGGCGTTGTATTTACCCTTGCAATCTGGTCAAGTTACACATGGGAAACTGTTATGGTAAACATTATTGCACACTAGTTTTTGAGTAGAAAGATGCTCTCCTCATTTCTTCTCACCCACTTCAGGCTTCACTACATCTGAGAATGGCTTTACCATACTGCTAAGGGAGTCATCTTTTTATGTACATGCACAGATAGATTTTTTTTTTGTGCAGTTCTGAGTGTTCACAAGGGAAGGTCTTTGCTAGAAAAGCTGTATCTTTTTGTTGTTATTTCATAGTTATTGTATGTTAGTGGACAATATGTTTTCTTTTGAAAAGGTGTCACTCAGTAGAAAACAAAATGGCTGATTCTTTGCTGCAAACCTGAAGAGGACAAAGTAGGCAGAGAGACTTGTTTACAGATCACATTTATTACTATTCTGTCTTTCTCTGAGTGTTCTCTCCATGTAAAAATTGATTGTTCTAGTGTATGTTCTGATAAAGCCTAGGCTTTTGCTGTGCTTATGATGCTCACCTTGAAGGAAAAAGGTGAGCGTATTCATAGAAAAACTCAGACTCAGGGTCCCATTGCAGCTTTATTATAAATGTTAACTTCTTTATAACAACTATTTTTTGTTTGAACTGGATTAATGTACGCTCCAGAATATAATGCCATTAACTTGAAAAATGAAACATCAGATTTTGTGAAGGCACAGAGGTTTGTGAAGTGTAATGCTGAGTTTCTCAAATTACTTCTGTTTGGGCTTCTCACATGATCTTCAAACATTTTTTTAAGAGCGTTACAAAGATGACTTTGTACGCACACTCCCACAGTTGCCGCCTTGTTTGGGAACTTCTGTGAAAGGAAACCATTGTCTGGGGCACTGATATCTGCATATGCGTCAAGGACATTTTTTTTGAAGCAAAACCAGTTCCAAGCATAAAAATGCAACATGTTTCAAACTGAAATCAAAGCCAATAAGACGCAGATATTTTACCACAAGCTGAAACTATCTCCGAGTCCAGCGAAGAATGCAACACAGGGATCGTGTTTCTGTGCCCAGGTGTGGTGGTAGCAGACGCCGCATCCTCAGAGCAATTTGCTTTCCTGATTCTGATGGTGACCTTACTGTACTGCAGCAGAATTACATCGGGAACTAGACACGGCCTCTAGGATTTTTAAATCTACTTCAAGTAGCTTCCTGAGGCATTTTAAAAAGTGTAAGAAGAGATCCAGCAGGTTCAGCTGCTCTGAGTATCAGTGAGGGCTGAGCAGACCCCTCTGGAGTCATCATCGTGTACTTCACAGCTGCGTTAGTGGAAGACTTCCAAAATTATTTTTAAAAGTACCTGAATTTTTGTATTTTTTTAAATCTGTGATATTGTAGTTGAGTACTGGGCATTGTGTAATGCAAGCAGCATTTTTAAGCATTTCTCCTCAGGACTGGAAAGCCCTTGAGTGTCCATGCCAGGGGCACACTGTCAACATGCAAAGTGCTTCCCCAACCCCAATGTCTTGGGTGGCGGACAAGCGGGCTGACCCCCTCCAACAGGAAGGAGGCACCCCCTTCCTGGCTGTGCCGGGCAGAACGGGCCAGCCCTGGCAGCGGGTGAGGTGATGAGGGACCCCCATGGTTGGGGGGCTGTTCTGGGGGAGCCTGGGGGCAGGCAGGGCCCTGCACTGCCTCAGTGCTGAGGAGAGCTGCGGGGCGGGGCTGCGGTGTAGCAGGTGCCCAGGTGCTGAGGGGGCTGTGGGAAGGGCACTGGCTGCTTGGTGAGGAGGTGGGCACACATTACAAGTCTCCTCCACGTATGGTGGCCTGTGGCTCTGAGCGGGAGCCCTGCCTGGGCTGCGCCATGCTGTTGCTCACCGCATGCCCCATTGATAGCTGGGGAAGGAGGTAGTGGGGAGGAATGCCATTTGCCAAAAGTCCCTGCACTGGAAGTCCCTTGGAAGAAGCATGTCCCTGCCATTCATCCCACAGAGTCCTGCTTGTTCTTGCTTTAAAATGTACGTAAACCTTCCCACTGGCAGGAGAATGTCTACTCAACAGCAGCAGTCGCCTCGCGGGCTCTCTTGACAGGTGAGTTGTAACCAGCCTGCAGCCAGGCCCAGGCCATTTTGTAAGGGAGACTGGCAGATAGGCCCCGTTTCCCTGTCAGACTGCTTCCCCTCTGGTAATATATGCAAGAAACCACACTGATTGTCTCTCTGAGCTTAGAAAGTTGTTACTTTGTGGTCTTGATAAAGTAGAATCATAGACTAGTTTGGGTTGGAAGGGACCTCTAAAAGTCATCTAGTCCAACCCCCCTGCTGTGGGCAGGGACATCTTCAACTAAATCAGGTTGCTCAGAGCCCCGTCCAACCTGACCTTGAATGTTTCCAGGGATGGGGCATCCATCATCTCTCTGGGCAACCTGTGCCAGTGTTTCACCACCCTCAGCGTCAAAAATTTCTCCCTTAGATCTAGTCTAAATCTACCCCCCTTCAGTTTAAAGCCATTCCCCCTTGTCCTGTTGCAACAGGCCCTGCCAAAAAGTTTGCCGCCATCTTTTTTATAAGCCCCTTTTAAGTACTGATAGGCTGCAGTAAGGTCTCCCCGAAGCCTTCTCTTCTCAAGGCTGAACAACCCCAACTCTCTCAGCCTTTCTTCACAGGAGAGGTGTTCCATCCCCCTGATCATTTTTGTGACCCTCCTCTGGACCCACTCCAACATATGTTTCTTATGCTGAGGGCTCCAGAGCTGGACGCAGGACTCCAGGTGGGGTCTCACCAGAGCAGAGCAGAGGGGCAGAATCACCTCCCTCGACCTGCTGGCCACGCTGCTTTTGATGCAGCCCAGGATACGATTGGCTGCCTGGGCTGCGAGCGCACATTGCTGGCTCATGTCCAGCTTCTCATCCACCAAAGTAATTTAATGGAGATAAAGCTAGAGTAGCAGTCACTTTATTTTGGTGCTACAGTTCTGCCCTGTAAAATTCCATGCTGTTCTGTTGTCTATCCATTGTTTGAAAAGTAGTAATTTATATGTCATCTTGTAGAGTAATTGCAGATAAAATTTGGGCAAACTTGGAACAGGAGGTTTTACAGGCCTCCCAGAGCAATTATGCTGCTTTTTTGTCTTGGCTTTATGCCTGCATATGTTACAAGAAACTTGCACAGGCCAGTTGTAGGAAAATCCAGTAGATCAGGACCCTAAGCATCTCTTGGGCCTCAGATCCACAGTTAGCCTGTGGCAAGTATGCAGCATGCTTTTTCCCACAGAAACATTAAGAGTCAGGACCTTGATGAAAGGGTATCAAGACGGCCTACTGGGATTCTCAGTTGTCTCAGCAAATTGATTATTCCCATAGATTTTATAAGCTTTAATAAATGACTAAACAGGATCACAAAGCTTAGGCTCATTCTCACACTTTGTGATCAGTCTGGAGATTGTAACAAGTATTCCCACAAACCTTTGAAAGGCATATGTGCTCTTGTTTTCAAAAAGAGTTGTCTACTTTTTGGGAGCCTTTCCTCCCTGATGTTGTAGCCCAGTGTGTTGCACCGGTTCTTTCTACAGCTGAGGCACATTCCTTTGTTGAAAGTGTTGATGTCGTTGCACCAGTATGCTGTGCTTTGCTTATCGTTGTGAAGCAGAGAGTCGATGAACAAATGAACTGACCTCTCATGGGCACATTTCACAGTTTGAGTGATGCCTGAAAAAATGCAAACAACAAAATTTTGCATGCCCTTGTTCCTCTTTACCATTTCAACTGCAGAGGAGTACAGTAACCAACTATAAACATGTTATTGTTTTCCCACCACCACCTTTACTACTAAAACATGATTTTGCCTCAGAAATGATACATTGTAGCAACTTTACTTTTAGGATAATCCAAAAATACTTTGGCTGAACCTACATGATAATAAAGTTGAATAATTTGCTGCTTAAACTTCTCTAGCCTGACTGTTTAAGACTGTAAATATGAACCTTGATTTCATTGTCCTGGCTGTTTTGGTCAATATGAAATACAATATGAGGCTATATGCAGTCTTTCAGGTCATGCCACAGTAAAGACAGCAGTCTCATTCTGAATGGTTGAACACTGTTATCTTTTGGATGCTTACATGGTAATATCATATTTTGTCCCTATCAGAGTGACAAACTCTCATGCTGAATTGAATTCTGCTTGCACCTACTACTGGGGAAAAAGGAGCAAAAAATGTATTAAATACATTAAAAAAATATTAAATACATAGATCTGCTTTTACAGGCAGTATCTTTTTCTTCCTTAAGTGTCATCAAATTATGAAAGTTGTTTTCTTCTGTGTAATCGGGATACATCACGATGGACTGTTTTTATATGTCTTCACTGATAAGCTTTCTGGCTGATGCTTAGTTTCACATTTGTCATGAATTATCTGCTAACAAGGCTTTTAGATAGTGTGATGATAGTTGAGAAATATTTTTGCAATGCAGTATGCTGGGTGAACAGTACTCTGGTTTTTTTTCAGTGAACAGTTCTGGTTGTCACTGTGCATCAGTACCTTATCTTTTTTCAGTATGTTGCATCAGTTTCTCTAGATGTTTAGGTACATTGGAAATAAGCTTCTATATATAAAACCTAGCCTGGAACACTGGCAGTCAGGTCCTAGAGAGAGCATCATCTGCATAGCTGAAGGATGGGGAGTTGGGAAAAGGTGAACTAAGGAGGTCAGTAGTACAGGCCTGTGTTTTATTTGATTGGAAATAATTAATTGCACACTAGATGAATCTGGCTTAATTAGAATAAGTTTTCTCATTTCCTCTACCACTAAAACAAATACCTTTGAAATTATTCAGAAGTGCTTGACAGCAGGATGCTTGTGGCCTCATTTTCAGAAGTGCTAGGCAGCCACATTCCTTAGTGGAGTCAGTAACAGCAACAGCAGTTTGAACTCAATACATGTAAAAATCAGATAACTGATTTCTAGAAAAGAAATTTCCTTGCATATAATGGGAGATAATACTCCCATTAGATACTGTTTAAGACCATAGAGATATGTAAAGTTTCCCAGAGATACTGTCAGTGCAGCTGCAATGCTGCTTCCCGTTTTGTGCCATTGGTTCTTACCAGTGATTCCATATTGTGCAATGTGGTTATACACATGCATGATGTGACAGCCAGGCTGAAAGGTGCCTCCATTGGGATAAAAGTCAAAATGAGCCACAGGCTGCTTGATGCCAACACTGAGACCCATGTGCTGTTTAGTGAACGTATGAATTGCGTCTACAAAGTTTGCATCATCTGGAGATAAACGATCTGTTGGTGACATTCCTTCAAACAAGGGACCGGCGGGGTCAAGGCCTGCAATAAATGCAAATAATCCGGTTGTGATATAGTGCAGATTGGCTGTTCTTTTACTGTTATGAGAAAAGTCTGTGATAAATATTTAAAACCAGACAGTAGTGGTACTTTACAAGGCCTTTCGCTGATAGAAACAATGCTAGGAAAACTTGTCCTGCAGAGGGTACGTGGTTACACCAAAAGGTAAAGTAAACACAGGTGCTGTAATAAACAGTAACTGCTACATGCACAAGGACACAGGCCCAGAGATAGATGTGTTTGTTGTAGACAAATCATGCTTGCTACTGCTTTGTCACTTGAGGGATGTTTACTTAATTTTGTTCTTTCATACTCCAGAGGTCATGGATTTCAGAGGCCCTTTTGAAGACACCAGTCCCACAACAAGGTTGACTTTTAGCCCACATTTGGGACCTGAAACTTTACAAAGCTTCGCTTATTGCTTAAAAGACCTGTATGTCTGCTAGATGTTTATAATAATATTCCACTTAGGGAGTCTTGCTGATTTTTAGCTTGCTAGATATTTTTGTATGGTGCTCTTTTTGGTTGGGAATTGGTTTATTGAAAAGGACTGCCTGCATAGTTTAAAGCTGCCTTCAGTTTTGAGGACAAGCTTCTGAACTTGAGATTCTTTAGTTGGTACTATGGACTAATGTAGTTGCATAGAGGTAACTGGACAAGACTAATAACAAGCTACAAGTAAGGATGTCACCCTGAAGGCATACATTTCCTTTTATTTTTAATAGCTTTTATCACTGTGAATTTTTAGAGCTTATTGTTACAAGTCTGAATAATTTCCTTAATGTAATTTTCTTTTTAAAATTAGTTGCTAACAATGAACAGTGTATTTGAATGGCTTTGGGTCAAGATAGTGACCAAAGATCGAAGGTTAGAGGCTAACATATAGTTGAAGGTGTTACTGGGAATGGACACAAGATAAATTCAAGCAACATGCAACTTGAATCTTTGGTTTATGATTCGTAGTCCCCACGCTTGTATATTCTGTATGTCATAATTTGGACTGAGGTAGGAAAGATCAAAGCTAGAAATACTGTGATACTTCATTTTGAAAAGTGTTTTCATTAAATTTTCTAAATCTAATTTCTAAACCAATGGGATGAAACTTCTAAACTGTGGCAAATATTGCTATTCAACAGCTAAATATTGATATGACATTGATATGTCAAATATCTACGTAACTTAAATCAGTTGACTGTTACATTTCTTAAAGTCTTTTACCTGTAATTCTTCCAATCTTGTTCGTACCACTGATATAACTTCCAGCAAATCCTGAAACATGAGCTCCTAGGCTGTACCCGATTAGATGAGCATTGCTTCTGGAAAATTGAATGGATTCCTGGAAGATAGTGGCAGCTTCATTTAGACGCAGAAAATGTGAAAAGTAAACAGTGAAATACTTACTACAAGTTAGGAATGCCATGAATTGCAACACAAGACACTTGTATGTTGATGATGGAGGTCAAATGAGGTGCATGGATCATGCACTAAATTTCTTCACTGGCTGAATGTTGTTCCTTGCCTCCTTTTCATGCAGCAGGAAAATGCCACATTTGGGCACTGCTACTTATGTGCTATGCTCAGGAAAACCAACAACACAGTAGAATTTTTGTTGCTGTTTGTGGCAAGTGATGCAAATGTACATCGCCTTTTGTCTGCAGCATTTGACTTTCCTATGACTATAAAATGGATGTCTGTCCTTTAACTTCAGTGTAAAGTCCTTTACAGAAAATGCCTTGCTTTTTTTGCCTGAGATACTAGCACAAGCCAAATTAGAAGCCAAAGTATCAAAACATTGATCAGACATGCTAAGTGATATGGCAATGAAGTTTCTTGGACTGATTTGTACAAAACTGGGTATCTGATCTGAAACTTATTGAAGCAGAATTGGCCTCAGGCCCTTCTTTCTACCTAATCAATAGTATCTAGATCTTCAGCATTTCACCTGAGCTGTAAGGCTCAAAGTTTTTCTGACTTGTAAAGAAAAATGTGGCATATTTTTCTCGCAGGAAAGGCAAAGATTTTGTTTGCTCTGTTTTGATTTCATTGTGGATATTGCCTGTCCCAATGGAGTGGCTTTGCAGTCTCGATACCTGTCTCTTGTGAAGATGAGGTGAAACTTGGCAACCTTCTTTTGAGAGAGGCAGCTCTTAGAAATCACAAGATCTGACCAATTTTCTTGGCAGGTGTTATTGAGATGGATGCTCTTGAGATTGTTACTGATCATGCCCTATTAACTCTTGGACTAGGAAACCAGGACAGAGTGCTAAGATTTATTTTTATTATTTATTAAAACGTTAGACAGCACTGCAGTTTTTGTTACATCCATCGAGGATATTTCAAATACTTGCCTGCCTGTAAGCAGACAGAAGCATAGCGGAAAGATAGTTACTGGAGTTGGAATGAAGTTTTTTTAACTGTTAAACTCATGAGGGGTGCTTCTCACTGGAAGGAGGGTTTACTGCTTGAACATGCTCAATTGAATGCTGTGAAAATTTATGGTATATTTAAATCCTGGAACATACCATGGTACAAGAGAAGCTACCTACAGTGCTGGAGCAAGGAGTCATTTATTCAAGCCTCGATTTGTTTGCTGACACTGGAGAAATCACAGACTGTTTTTATTGTTGACAATGTGGTGTGTCCTCCTGGGAACTGAACAAAGTCCACCGTTTGATTCATTCAATAATTAAACAGCTTCTAAATATGACTTTAGGCTGCAGCAACTTAAACTACATTTGACCAAGAGCTAAGGTTTCTTGTAATGTCACAACGAAAAATAGTGACTCTGGCTCTTCTGCCTTTTCTTTTGTGCCTGTTGTCCCTAACGGGGCGTGGTATCTGACAACTTCTAGCCCTGCCATTCCTGTTGAAAGCAGCTTAGCCCTTCAACAGTATTTGCTACAAATCTTTCAGCTTTGCAGTGTATTTCCCTTCCACTTTAGGCCTCACTGTATTTAAATTAATGTATTCAAAAATTCATTGTGAGGTACAGAAGTATAATGTCATTTCAAATTAGCTTAAATTAGTACTACAGATAGATGAAATAAGAGTTGCTTAGGGTGCATGGTTTGTATGAGTGATTCTCATTATAGTGTTTGCTTTCTGCCTTTTCTTAAATAGTGCTGGAGCCAGACATCCCTTGCAGACTTGTCTGCAGCCTTTTCAATCCAGCCATGGCCACTACTCCCTATGTAGCAGGAGTTTTGATAAGTAGTCACTACATTAGCGTGGCTCTGTACTCACTACTGCCTCCATGTCATCTGCTTTGTGAGGCATGTCTGTCCTCTTAAAAGGTCTCCCTTTACATTCTGGATCTCTAAGCCATTATTTTAGAATAAACTTTTGGGAACTGAGGCAAAAATCAGACACAATGTAATGCTTGAATTCTGCATTAAAAGCAGAAATTAAGCACAGATAACATACACCTATTTTACTGAACTAACCACTTGCAAATCATAGAATCATTTAGGTTGGAAAAGACCTTTCAGATCATTGAGTCCAACTGTTAACCTAGCACTGCCAAGTCCACCACTAAACCATGTCCGTAAGCGCCACATCCACGTGTCTTCTAAATACCTCCAGGGATGGTGATGCCACCACTTCCCTGGGCAGCCTGTTCCAATGCTTGACAACCCTTTTGGTGAAGAAATTTTTCCTAATATCCAATCTAAACCTCCCGTGGCGCAACTTGAGGCCATTTCCTCTCGTATGATAATGTATGCCTGTTTTCAAAGTGTGGGACTCTCAGCTGTCTTCACACATGCTAATTGAAAAGCTAAAGTAGCATGAAATTATCTCGCGTCTAAAGATATATCAAAATATTTTAATAAACAAGACCACTTGCTTTTTTGTCTTGCATGATGAAAGTTTTATGAAGTCATATGGAAGTTTATGGAAGAAAAATTTGCAACATATTAAAGAAACGTAAGTAATCGAAATGAACAGCATTAACCAGCATAGTGTTTCAGAAAGGTGGTAGAAGCATAAGGACGGGTAAATAGGTCTTTTCCAGAGAAACGTGTTGATCTGGAGGCTCTTACCTCCAGCCATTCCAGGAAGTCTGCTATCTCCTGTCCTATGTAGCGCGTATTCTGTACAGCAATGGGATAGTGCTGGTGAGCAAATGTAAGCCAGTCTGCAATGATCACATTAATTTGTTTATGCTGAGACTTCAGAGCTGCTGCCATTTTCCAAATCCAACCTTCTAATATCCCATCCACCTGTTTTATTCAAAAAAAGAAAAAAAAGGGAAAAAAATTCTTAAGGGAAAGCAGTCTCTGCCAAATATTTCTTGTGAAAAGCTCAAGGAAACAAAAACCATAATATAAACAAGGAGGGCTTAATGCTGATAACTAGATTTTAGGGGCTTCAGCATGCTTCAGTGCTGAGAATCTTTAGGTTTTGATGGACAAAAAAATTAAGAATCAATATAAGAACCTTATAATAATTTATATCTTGTAATAAGGAACTCTTATCAGAGAAATGATGTCCCTAAATATTTTCACTCATCCTGAAATAATTGGTATTACTGATTAAAAAAAGACAGAAATGTCCAGAAAATTTCTGATTTCATTCAAAAGCAGCTGTCCTTGTAAATTTAGGCTGAAAGGGTTGGAGAGGGAGGGAAGCTGGAGGGTTGCAGACCAGCGGGCATTTACATTCTACAGCCGTTCTATTTTGAGATTGCCTTTTTTTTTTTGAGTCATTCTTTTTTCAAGGACTTGATCACAATTTCCTTGCTAGCATCAAAGACTGCTTCTGATTTGATGAACCAGAATTAAATCTGATAAAGTAAATATTAATTGTTGTTCTAGTTGCATATATTTCCTCAATTGATAGAACATCCTTCTCTCTTCTGTTTTAACAGAATTGGGGAGTCTCAGTTCTGGGTTTCCATACATATTCCTCTAAGAGCCCAACACAAATTAAGTTAATACGAATGATGAACTTCAATGGCAGCAGCTTCAGGTCCATGGTTTGTCTTTGAAGAGGGTATAGGTTTTGAACAAATTCTTATTTGGGAGGCTTGGCTAAAGTAATCTAGGGCAATATTTCATCCAAAGTAAGCTCTGCTGTTATTTAAGAGAGTTATACGCATCAAGGGTGGTGTTTAAAGTTTCTCTGCATATTTGCAGATGTGCAGGAAAGATCCATTTTGCCACCTTATGCTGATGACATTGGTTCTATGAGAATCAAGGATCTGTTAAAATTATATTATTTCTTATCCTGCCTTTTCTTTTGTTTCTTTTTCAACTGAGAAGCTGATCAAAAGTCACTCTTAGTACTGCTATGCTTTTGAGAGAGGTTTTTATGGTGGATTTTTTTTTTTTCACAGTTTAACTGGAAGCAGTTCAGTGATAATTCATTGACGTTGAAGGCTTCATTTTCAGCTGAAGGGGCTTATAGAGAAGTTCTCTTTAAAGGTGTATCTGTGAGAAAGATGTGGGGAGATTGTGTGCACTTCTTTTTCAATAAGTCTGCAAATATCTGGCAGTGAACATATCAGAGAAATGAAACTGATATTCAGTCCTCCAGAGGCATAGCACATTAATTCAGCTACTTGTTCGAACTCTGCTGGCTTTAAACCAGGGCTGAATCTAATCCTTGGCATGGAACTCTCATACGAAAAATTGCTTGTAGACTGTTCCTTCAGAATCTCAGTGGGGAATATCCACTTTGTATTATTTCTAGCCGTGATTGCTACCAGCGAAATCCACCATCTTTCTAATCACAACCTTTCTTCTTAAGTTACTTTTGGCACTAGCATAATGAGAAGGAAAGTATATCAAATCGGGTGTAGTTTGAATAAAAAATAAAATGTGAGTTCATACCGACCAGCCATGGACTATCATCACCAGAGGAAGAGAGGCATTGAAACTGCATTTGTCAAGAGTCTCCAACTGATTAAAAAAAATCTGACAGCCTTCTTCAGTTGTATCTGTATAAAGTCGAAATTTGGTTTCTAAGTTTTGCTGATCTTTCTTTGTTCTAGTGTGCTGACTCTGTGATCCCAGTGCCTCTGAAATGAAATTCATAACAACAGTCATAATAGGATGGAATCTAAAACCTGAAGAAGTTACTAGCGAAACACAGTTTATTAGACAAAGTAAACTAGTAAGATTGAAACTCTAGCTATGTATAATTGCTGCCTACTCCAGGTGGGCAAAAGCTGTACATTTTGGGTCAAAAATGATCTCTCTCAAACTTTGAGATGGTCTTGATGTCCCTCTGAGTCCATTTTTGAACAATAACAATTAAACAGGAAAATACTGATCTTACTGCTACGGGCCCTTATAGAATGTGTATTTATTTTAAAAACACAGTACAGGTGCTGTGACTGCCTTTGCATGCTAACATTGTAAGCACATTCATAGGCTCTTAACTCTGCAGGGCATATTTTACTAATGTGCATTTGCTAGTAATTGCTGAGCAAGCATCATTACACTAAAATAACCTTTTTATTCAGGGTTATAACTCTGCTTAGAGACTTAGGTGACTGTTTAAAACTATTAGACCACAAGTGATTCTTTTTCTCTAAAAAGGCAAGATGAATTGTTCTTGTTCTAGTTGTAAGATTTTTGGTGGTTTCATTTTTAGATAAAATAGCTTGGTACATATAGGACAGCATTTTCAGAAATGTCTATTAAGTACCTGGGATGGTATTTGTATTTAAGAAAGTGGGGGCAGGGTGAACTGTGGTCTTACCAACATTATGAGCTTAGAAGGAAAAATGTGGATATAGAGAAATTGCTGAAAAACAGAGTAAAATAAAGCAGATGCTTACAAAAAACACATTGTGACATGCAAGCCTGGTGTTTCTTTCTAATAAGACTTCAGATTCTTTCTAATAAGACTTCAGACTGTTTATTTATCTGAAAATAATCCATATAATAAATTATTACTTAAGCTAGAAAAACTGAGGATTAGTAGAAGAAAAGTTAGGGTGTGATGAACTGGACAAATGAGAGGTTACAGTTCTTTGTGTTGGAAAGGAAACTTTTAGAGTGGAGAGAGTTTACTAATGGAGTTCCTTGGGGACTGGTTTTTTGTCTAATCTTGTTTTAATATTTTTATTAAAGAAGCAGGCAGGAAAGGTACAAGACTCTCAAAATTTGGGAGGCATTTGCTAATACTGAGGAGACCAAAACGTTAACCGCTAAGAGCTAGATGACCTTGAAAATACACCAACAGGAACAGGTAGAAATCTCATAGTGCAAGGTCATACAGCTGATAGGAATTTCTCTATAAATGGGGCTCATAAATTGGAAGTGACACAAGGGTAAAAAGACTTGACTGTAGTAATCAATAACAAAACTGACTGAGTCACCGCTGTGATTTGGCTGTGAGAAAGGAAAATATAATTCCAAGATGCATCAAGGAAGATGTTTTCGGTAGGAAGAGAGAATGTTAGTGCCAATAAGTTGAGGCACTTATGAACCACATACAGAACAGTGTGCATAGCTCGTTACCGAGTTCAGGTGATCCCAATTCAAGCTGCAACAGCTGCTCAGCAGCACCACTAAAATGGCCAGCGAGGAGGCTTTTGTTTTAATTAGGCCTAACAAATCATGAAATATTCTCAGAGGTGAAAATGAAGTATTTTATTCACTGAGAAAGAAGTTAAAATGATCTGTGTTGGGACAGAACTCACAGTAGTTAAATTTTATTTTTTATATTTTTCTTGCATAAAAGTTCCTTAATATAACATTAATATTAGAAATATTGTATTGTATTTTACCTCCTAAGTCAGCACATTTAATTTTTTTTGTACATCACAACCCTTATGTCTGTAGATGTTTTCAGAAAACATCTAAAATCATAGCGTATTCATTTCTGTATTATATCTGCAAATGTATCCTGAGGTTCTATGACATTGTTGTCTTGACAAGATTTTGAGAATTTACAAGGTACTTCTGATACATTTACAGATGAGCCTTTATCCTGCAAGTGTGCGTATGTAGTGATGGGAAACTCCCATATTTATATATTTGCAATAGTAACATCTTATAATGCACAGTACAAAGAGCCCTAATGTGGAAGCATGCTGGTTTTAGATCAGACTGTATTTTTGCCACATGTCAGTCTTGTTACAAACTTTATTCAAGGTTTTATTTTAGTATAGTGATAAGACATGATACAAACAGCATATTTAATTTGGTTAAGTATGAAAATTCTGGCAAGAAAACTCCCAAACTGAACTGCACTGGATGTGCACTGTTTTCTATTTGTTGCTAATTATTGTACATTCCAAGTAACTCCAGGCAATGTTCTGTTTCATAGCTGGGAAACATTGTCGTAGAAAGTTGCTCAGCCTTTCACAAGAGCTGGAATTTAAAAAGCTTCAAAGTTAGTGAAGGTTTGGTTGCCAAAATTCTTAGCTTCAGCATCTCACATTTTTCTTTAATGGCAGTTTTAATTATGATAGCTAGCTAGGACTAAGTCTGATCATTTCTCTGTTACCATGTCTACTTAAGAGCATTTCTGTTGGATTTTTTTTCTGGGAGAAGACTCAGTTTCTGAAGAAAGTAATATTAGGAGAAAGTGAATCTAGATAAAGAACTGAAAATTGGAAAGAGTTTTAATGATGTTGATATTCTTAACCTCCAGTTTAGTCAGGCTTTGGTGAGTAGTCTCTACACAAAGATAAGCATTGTGTTTTATTTTTAGCACAAAAAGAAAAGCAAAACCCAAAAAAGTAACTTGTGACTGTTCCATGGTACACATCCTTTCTTTGTTTTATGCCTTGTTTTCATTTTCTTTTTGCGCTCTCGGTGTTTGTGCAATGCAAAGGCCCTTTGTTACTCTCCATATTGTTTGTACATACTACAGAAAACAAGTCTAATAAATAGCTGTTTTCTTTATACATCAACTGTGACAGTGCTTGTGGTGCTTTAATGGGTGAGCTTTTGGCTTGCCAGTAAGTCTGAGAGAAGGAATTAAAAATACAGTTTGAACTTCTTCATGGCTGTCAAAAGTTAAAACTTCCAATAGAATCTGTTGTGTTATTAGGCAAAGAACTGCTTCAATCCGTTAATTCATGTAATGACTTGGAGAAGGAAATAGAGTCTGAAGAGCTTGGCGTCTACAACAGACTCTTGCTAAAAATGTCATACCAGTGACTCAGTGACATAATCGAAGGGAACTGCAAAGTTTCATAGGTCAGTTTACAAAAACAACAGAATAAAACTGCTAAAAATTTTCCCATGCTAGTTGCAGCTAAGAATGCCAAGATCTTTCTGAAACTCCAAAGAGTTTCTCTTTGGAAAATTAGCCTTACCCGCGTGAGTGACTTGCTGACTTAATTTCCTTTTTCTCTGAAGATCCTACTCTAACATGAATTCTTTCAGGAAAGGCAATGCAACATGGCCACACTGATCCATATGCTATCGTAAATTACCTTCATGCAGAGCAGTGTGGTAATCACAAGCAAGAAATGTTGTTGTGACTTCTTGATACCCCGGAGGAGATTCCGCCCTTTACCTTTCCTTACTGTGTGTTAATGATGTTTCTATGAGGTGCAGTACAGACTGTAACTGAAGGCTGGGTTTGTAAACATGACTTAACTGTAATATAGCAAAGTTTCTTGTAAAACGTTTTGGGGTTAGTTTTGGCAGACAAACCAAAACACTTTTAGATTTGACCTGAGATAATCGTGTTTTCTTACTAAAAAGTAAAACCAAAAGAGTGATTCCCAGTTGAACAAAAGGAAACTTTTTTTTTTAAATCCCAATTAAAAAAAAAAAGGGAGATACACCTACATACCTGGTAGTAGGTCTAGTAGCCATCTGAATGCAATGCACATTGGGATGTGCAAGATAAGAGTTCAGTTATTTTTTCTCACAAAAGTGAGCATTTAATTATTATTCACATTATTAGTGTTTATTGCTTTAGGTGATGCCTGTCCTGCTTCTAATAATGCGAGCTCCAAACTAAGATGAAAGCATACAAAGAATAATGAGAAAGCTAGTAAATATAAAGAAATAATTTTTTCCGTATAAAGAGGTCTTGCAAATAGTAATAATAATGATAATTCCATATGGACCAAACTTAGATTATTTGAACTAAATCTTCTATTTACCTGTAGAAGCAGGTTAATCCAGGAGACTGACTTGGATTGAATCACCCCAAAAGATGAGAAGGCATATGGTTTTCTTAACTATGGCATTTTTGGAGTCTCTTCTGAAATTTACAGATGTGATAGTAATGCTTTAAGACTTGTAAATGAAAACTTGACTGGAAACTAGACAAAGGTCTGGACACTGGCCAGGGTTTGAAACCATGAAATATCACATGCTTTTTTTTGACAAGGTCCGGAATCTAAATATATTTCTTTCTATATCATGTCTGATTGGGCATAAAAATACAACTACAAAATATCTGCTTCACACCACAAAATTTGCTTAAAGGTGTGTCAGGAATGAGGACAAAGTATGGTAGGACTATATAAAGTTAAGAGCAAAATTTTAACATTTGCTAAGTCATACATTTCAAATTCATCTTATGGTACAGCATAAAAACTTTGATTAAAATTGGCATTCCCAATTAATGAAAGTAGCTTTTCTGGCTAAGAAAAATAATGTTTAGCATTCTTCTTCCTGTCATGGAACTCTACAGGAAGAGTTTCTCAATAAGATCTCACTGAAGAGGGTTGAAGAGGATGTTTCAATGGCAGTCACCTAATCCATAGGCAATTGAAAAATTAATTAAGTAAACCTGAACAGAAGCTGAACTTTGGGCTGCTGGTATGTTAAGTATACTTAAAAATCATACATGTAAGCATGCATACACACCCCACAACCTAGACACAACATATTTTTTTTTCTGATTGCCTTCTGACTGTTACTGCAGCCTCCCTTCATGTTCTTGAGTGGATTTGTCTGAGCCTTAATAAATCTCCTGTATCTTTTGGATGACTTTTACTGCTTTTCACACATGGAAATATTTCCAAAAGAGTGCTTGTGTATTGTGATGTTAATTTAGTGTGACCAGTATCCGACACATTTAAGAAACAAGTGACACAGCTATTGTGGTCCCCTTAGAGAATTCT